CATGGATTATTCATGGACGCCTACACCACTTCACAAACACAAAACATCAACATTAGACACACATTTTTTTTCCAGATTTTTAGACTTAAAAAAGCATTTGCTTGAGTTCATGAAACTTCATGATTTTCCAGTTGAGGAGGCTTTGTCAGATTTAGCTACCTTTTGTAGACCGTTTTGTCCCCAAACCATAACCAGGCATGTACTCACACGCGCCTGTTTTGCTAAAGTAATACTAAGGTCTGGAGCGGAGTAAAAAGATAGATCTGCTCTCTTATAAATTTAAGCCAATTTCACACAGGCAGAGAAAATAGCTTTGCTTTGCAAAATTGCTTCCCTTTTAAATCAAACATTCGACACTTTTAAAGCATAAATCGAATTTATGCTTTAAAAGTAGAGTAATCGTAACAGTTTTCATCCATAGTATGTCCATTTAAACGTCTGCGTTTAGCTTCAAATGGCGTCTTTGACGACAGTATTCTATAAAAATTATTTGCATTCCGATCTTGACATCAAAAGGCACAAAAATATATTTTTCTTTTATTCCATGGATTTTACCCATTTATCTCCACTTGTTCCCAGTGTTTTTCTGCAACCACTATGCACACACAGCTGCAAGTGACGTAACTGTGACGTCTACTCTGAATTGGTCTATAGCGCGTGCTATAAGCAAGTGCAGAACGAGGCCACTCTTCGAGTCCCGCCCCGGAGTACCCGTACTGAGGGCTCCCACAAGCATGAGCTAATTATGATACCCAAGGCGTTAGGCTGGGGACTACAAAACATAACCTTCTCCACTTACAGAGGGGATCAGGTGAATTAAGCAGACAAAATCAGCACAGTATGAGGACGAGGCAGATTCAATCTCTGAGCTCCCCTCCGAAACTTAATGACAAGGTCATTTTTACTGACTGAATGACCGGCCATGAAAGCATGATTCACCACGATGGCTGCCACATACACTTTGAGCATGGAAGGGGTGCATCCCTTATCCAGCAGCTCTTGCAGTATGGTTAACACAGATGACACATCACAAGAAGCACGTTCTGTGCTGCACACCAGTCAGAAAAGGCTGACCATTTAAGGACGTAAAGGCATCTCTAGCCTCCAAAATAGTATTAGTCACACTCGCGGGGGGCTGTAAAGACTCCTGTCGAAGGGCCAAACATGAAGGCTCCACAGCTCAGGCCGGGAATGCCAAATCATGCCTCTCATTAGTGAGAGGAGGTCTGTCCTCAGTGTTATCGGCCAGGGGGCTGCCGAAAGCAGCTGAATCAACTCGGGGAACCATGTCTGATTCCTCCAGAGTGGGGCCACCAGGAGGACTGAGCATCTGACTTCCCTGACGCGTCTAATGAAGCAGGGCAATCGGGGGGAAGGCATACAAGCTAGCACTGGGCCATTCGTGGGCCAGAGTGTTTCGCTGCTTCGAGAAGTAAATTGGGCAGTGAAAGTTGTCTTCTGAGGCAAAGAGGTCCACCTCTGCCCTTCTGAAGTAAGACTAGATCGTCTGAACCGTTTAAGGATGTAGTCTCCATTCTTCTGGTGCTACATTGCCCCTGGACAGTATGTCGGCTCCTTGGTTCAGTCTGCCCGGCACATAAACTGCTCTCAGTGAGAGGAGGTTGCACTGTGCCCATAAAAGGAGCACATAAAAGGATAAAAGGAGCTGCAAAAGGAGACGAGGGGCGCTGAGTTTCATGTGCAAAACACACCGGCAGATCAAAGTGCTGTGGGGAGAGTGAAGTACACGTGACCTGTGCCGGCGTGAGATCTCTCAAGCCCAGTTGCTCAGCCCGTGACTCCACTGTTTCTTCCTTCAAGGCAGCTGGGAGGGGAGAAATGGGAGAGCGGGAGGGGTGGGGCCACCTTTCATTGAAAAAGGCGTTTCACAAGCGAAGCAGGGCAAGACTCATACTCTCACAGCGAGAGCAGTCTATCTCAGTGAGCGCAGCATTAGCGTGGGTGTGGCCCAGGCAAGCAGCGTACTCACTGTGCCCGTCTGAAGCCACATAAGCGGCACAGCATTTACAACAACGCCGAGGAAATTTGCTCCAGAAAATTGGCTCTTTGTGATCACCGGATAGCCGCAGGGGAGAAGGCACTGAAGAGGTGCATCTTCCCACTGCCGGGGCTCTTCCACGGCGAGTAGCAGGCTTCGAGCTTCTTGCTTCAGAGTCCAGCGAGGAGATGATCTTCGTGCTGAAGGAGAAAAATTCTGATGAAATGGTATTCAGAGCTGATTTATATAGCTGTTCAACCCCGTTTTGGCGGGTTGAAGTGCCATTGGTTTCGTGCAGCTACACGAATGTGATCAAATCAGGCTTCAGTATTCAGAGAAAACAGGAGTTTCCCCATAAGCATCATTGACGCAATGGGAGAGGGTGTTCGAAAGGGAAGCAAACGTCCATGTTCCAAGAATTCATTGGCGTTTTGCATGATCCTCTTCTCCACAAGATGGAGCCATTCATCAGATTAGGCTTATGATCAGAATCAGAATCAGAATACATACATATATAAGGAAAATAGAAGAACATTTAAATAAGAATAATAATAATAATAATAACAATGTGGAATACATCTGGGACAGAATATTTAACAACAGGTTTGTGCATTGTGTACTATATAAACAGCTCTATAAACAAATATGTAAGTATTTACATGACATCTAATTTATTGCCTCTCTCTCAAGTACTGAGAATGAATTATAAAAGCAGGTGGTAATTTCTGTGTTAGCTGTTTCAGCTGGAGATGGCATGGGGGAAAAAAATGTTTTTATGCCTAGATGTTCTAGTGCACAGAGATCTGTAACGTCTGTCTGAGGGGAGAAGTGCAAACAGGTTGTGGCCGGGGTGAGAGGGGTCTGTGATGATGTTACCTGCCCGTTTCTTCACTCTGGAGTTGTACAAGTCCTGAAGGTTGGGCAGGTGCACACCAATGATCCTTTCAGCTGTCCTGATAGTCCGTTGCAGTTTCCTTATATCTGATTTGCTGGCTGAACCAAACCATGCCGTTATAGAAGTGCACTAGACCGACTCAATAACAGCTGAGTAAAACTGTGTCATCTGTGCCTGTGGAAGGTTAAGGTTTTTCAGTTGACGAAGGAAGTACAACCTCTGCGGGGCCTTTTTCACAGTGGGGCCAATGTGATTGTCCTACTTCAGGTCCTGAGAGATGGTGGTGCCCAGGAACCTGAATGGCTCCACTGCTGCCACAGTGCTGTTTATGATGGTGAGAGGGGGGAGTGCAGGGGGTTTCTCCTAAAGTCCACAGTCATCTCCACAGATTTGAGCGTGTTAAGCTCCAGGTTGTTGTGACCGCACCCGACAGCCAGCTGCTCAACCTCTTGTCTTTAAGCAGACCCGTCGCCGTCCTGGATGAGACCGATGACTGGTGTCATCTGCAAACTTCAGGAGCTTGACAGAGGGATCTTTAGAGGTGCAGTCGTTGGTGTACAGGGAGAAGAGCAGTGGGGAGAGCACACAGCCCTGAGGAGCTCCAGTGCTGATGGTGCAGGTGTTGGATGTGAGTTTTCCTAGCCTCACTAGCTGCTGTCTGTCTGTCAGGAAACTGGTGATCCACTGACAGATGGAGGTGGGTACAGAGAGCTGTGTCAGTTTAAACAGGAGGGTATCTGGGATGATGGTGTTGAAACCGGAGCTGAAGTCCACAAACAGGATCCTTGCATAAGTCCCTGGTTTGTCTAGATTTTGCAGGATATAGTGCAGTCCCATGTTGACTGCATCATCCACAGACCTGGATAAGCAAACTCAAGAGAGTTCAGGTAGACCGGCACCAGTTTCTCAAATGACTTCATGACCACAGACGTCAAAGCAACAGTTCTGTAGTCATTTAGTCCTGTGTTATGCTAAAGCAGCTATACAAATTTCATACTCAATATAAGAAGTCTAAAACAAACCTTTTAAGCCAAAAGAGTTACATCAGCTGTAATACATACATTTTAAAAATATATAGGTTGTTTTGAGGCACTGTGTTTTATGATTATGTAATTTAATTTATGTAAGTGACTATTGGCTAATAAGTGACAAGATTTTATGATTAAAATTGAATATTACACACTTTTGCACACAAGTGAATGCACATTCATTAAATTGTTGTGATTATTTTTGATAAATAAATGTAAGTATTTATTAAACACTGGACTGTTTTTATCATACTGGTGCAAAAATAAAAATTTTAAAATTAATTTACCATTGTACATTAGCCACAATGTAGACAAACAACCCAAAATAATTCCTTGAATTAATTTCCAGTTTGGAAGTTTGTAAAACACACATAGAAAGTTGTGACAGATGCACTGATTATTCATTAGTTTAGCTGATCATTCTAATTAAATGTTTCTGTTTTCTACCGCTCAGGTGACAGAGTGATCTGACATCAGGAAAGCATCATGAGCACTGAAAAAGAGCGCAGCGTCCTGAATGATGCCGACGAGGAGAAGGAGGTGAAGGATGAGAAGACTGCTGTGAAGGAGGAGCTGTCTGAGGAGCAGGAGCTGGAGGAGCTAAGGGCTCAGGTGCTGCAGCTCCTGCTTGAGCTGGAAGAAGCTCGAGACACGGCTCAGAAACACGAGGAGAGCTTTCTGGAGCTGCAAGGTGAGACTCCCTGAAAAACATAGCATTTTCACAGCAATGATCCCACAGTTACAGAGGTCATGTCATACCTTTTTTATTTTTCCTGAGGTGCACCTGTTAGTATTTTTTTATGTGTTGACATGACTATCTTATCATATGAAACAAACACGTTTTTGTGTCACATGCCAAAAAGTTGCAGAAATACAGAATGAGTTGTTTTTGTGCCTTGGTTTCAATGTTGTTTTTGCACTGGGAAGTTTTGAGTTATGGAATTTACTAAATGTTTTTATAATATAATTAACGGTTAAATGTCAAACCAGTAACCTATGAATAAATAACTATATATTATAAAATCCATGTATATTTAGTTCATGATATACATCATATTTTAATTATAATATTATTTGATCTGAAACCTTTCTTAGATGGCAGTGGTGTTAAAATAACTGGAGGAGCTGAAAGGGGAATCTATGTATTAATATCTATGTTTGTCCATCTAGTAATTGAACTGAAATTTGCATTAGATAATAGTGACTGCTAAATGATTAACACTTACAGTAACCCTGCTGCACAGTGTCATGAAGAAAGATGTTTCTTTACCAAAAGTTATTTGTCAGAGATATAGTTGAATGTGGTCTGTCCTCCATGAGCTGTTTTACTCAATGACAGGCCCAGTAAAATAGTTTCTATATATAGCATTTAGAGCTCTTTAATGAGTCACCTGCTGTATAGCAGACAGACTCCTGGGACTCTGTAATGATCTGGCTGTGCTGTGACTGAGGGCTGTTTGTGTGTAACATGACAGGCATGTGAAAGGACAGCTGCGCGCTGAGGGAAGGTTCCAGACGGGCTGTCCTGACCAGCTCTAGGGCAGCAGATGCTTTTATCTTAACTGATCATTCCTGGATCTTCTCCAGTGAGGCGCTCTGCTGTTCCTGCTCATTTATGATCGCAGACATAGCATTAGATCAGTCTCACCCGCTTGAGGGGGCACAATTTCATACTTAAGAGTCAAGTATTTGAGTTGTGACTATATGTGACTGAATTATCAGGTCTGAAACAGAAGATATAGTATAAAGTCCCAGAACTTAGACACCCAATGAAACAATGCTTGAAATGCGGGGAGGGGTGTCAGTTGACATTTAGAGGGGACACAGCCTCACCTTCAGTTGCTAAAGTGATAAATTTTACTGTGAGAATGTATTCTGTCTTAAACATTTTCTTCTATTTTCCCATGGATAACATAAATGTTATCCATCCATCCATTTTCCAAACTGCTAGACCTCTGTAGGGTCTCAGGGATGCTGGAGCCCTTCCCAGCTTCTTGGGTTGTAGGTGGGATATAAATGTTTTGGAGATTGTTTTAATGCTATTACTCTTTCTTTAAGAAAATTACGCTTTGTGTTCAGTACAATGTAGGACACTTTAGAGGATATTTCTTAACATAGGGTATGTGGATTTCGGCTTTTCACAAAGTGTAGATACATTATGACATACATTTTTAAATATATTAAAATTCAAAGCAAATTCAAAATGTGAGATTAATTGTCTTAACTCAAGCAATATATATTTTTGTGATGGAAAACTTGCCAATGTTTACAAGGTTTGTTGCATCAGTTATCTTAAAGATATTTCTGTCATGGCAGTGTTAATGTGTTTGGTCTTGGCAGAATAGATCTGCTATAGAGCAAGTACTGAGACTTGTTACTGCCAATACATCCACGGACATGCTGCTGTGAGCATACAGGAAATAACCCCCACATTTAACATACATGACATTACTCCGTAGCAGATCTATACAGGCGGAGCTGGGGAAGGTGGAGGGTTCCTGAATCGCGCTGCAACTGCTATAGCAAACGATAGCCAAGTATTTGAATGTTGAGCAGCAAGCTCATTGGCTGCTGATGTGAAAAGTAACCAGTCAGCTGCGCTCTGTAGATAACAATGTGATTACTAGCAATTGAGTTAGATTGAGTTAGCTATCAGCTAAGCAGTGTTCCAAGATTGCAGTATAACTATCACTGTATATCACTGTATCACTTCATTTGGTAACATGTGAAGAGGGATCCTGATTTAGCTTAATTTGAACTCATTTTCATTGTCAGAGCAAAAAGTTTTTCTCTATCTCTGTCCAGGTCTTCTCGAGGAGGAACGTTTAGCTAGTGCTCATCAGGCAGAGGCCTTCACAAGACAGATCCAGCATCTGCAAGGTAACAAAGACTCTGAACACACAAACCCAAGATGATATTATAAGATTAATGATAAGATTTTCATTGCATTAGATGACAAAATACTGTAACAAAGCATATGCTATTTACTTGTGAGGAGTAAACCATTCTTTTAAAATACTTTACAGATGTAAAATAATTTTTTTTTAATGATCTCCCGACCCCTGTAGCACAACTTCGTTCTGTTCAGGAGGAGATGGACAGTCTGGAGGAGGAGAAGGAGAGCGAGCTTCTGGAAGCGCAGGAGGAGCTGCGGGCGGCGCAGGAGGAGGTGCTGCTGCTGCAGCAGGCGTCGGAGGAGGCCGCGGCTGAAAGAGAGAACGACATCGCCAGTCTGCAGGAGGAGCTCTGCCGCTTACGGGCGGACATCTCTCGACTGGAGAACACGGGACAGGAGTACGAGCTGGAGATCGTCACACTCCGAGCGGAAATAGAGATGAAGAGCCTGAGCCGTCTACAGCAGAGGAAGGAGGGTGAGAACAGAAACACAGCGCTAAAAGAGCTCTGAGATTGTCAGGGTACTGCATTAATGAAGACAAGTCATTTTCAATGCAGCAATCAAAATTAAATGTTTAGTTTGACCTCCAAAATCTATAACAGTGTACAGCACATTCACAGCACAGTCATGAATCCAGTCCAAAAATAGGCTACGAATGAGCATTTCAGCTGAAAAAAAAGAAGAGAAAAACATAAATGGCTTTTTCTCTCCTTTGTAGACATATTCAATATTCAAATTTATGTATTTACCCATTAAAAAACTATATAATTATCCCCAGTGGAAAACTAGATATCCCACTTAACCAGTTTGGTCACTTTATTATTTTATTTATTTTAAGGTCCAATTCTCACTAACTAACTATTAACTATGGGTTTTGCCTCAATAAACTCCTAATTTGCTGCATGTTAATAGTTAGTAAGGTAGTTGTTTAGTTTAGGTTTGGGGTAGAGATTAAGGGATCTAAAATACGGTCATGCAGAATAAGGCATTAAAGGGGTCATATGATGTTGCTAAAAAGAACATTATTTTGTGTATTTGGTGTAATGAAATGTGTTTATGCGGTTTAAGTTTAAAAAAACACATTATATTCCACATACTGTACATTATTGTTTCTCCTTCTAGAACAGACATAAGGCAAAATAATCACTAAGTAAAGGTGTAACAAAATGTCTCTAGAATAGACATATGGCAGAAAAAAAAAAAAATCCCGTGTCCATTATGCCTGCGGCAACCACATGTGACGACCATGCTGGACTCCGCTTCGTCCATGGTGAAAGCCGATCCGGTGATCCACAGCGCAAAGTTGTTGTATTTCCTCAGCGACCAGCACGGATCAGCTCCAGCATGACGAAGCGTATATTGTCCTCTTTTGGAAGACCAAACAAAGTAGTTTCGCTTTCACAACGAAACACACAGCGTCTTCACGACATGATGGCGGTGGCAGAAACTAAAATAAAGTTACGCCTTCTTTCTTTGCGTGAACATTTGGGCGGCGTTATGCAAATCTTCCCACACAGTGAGGTAGATATGTGGGGGCGTGTTAGAACGAGCCGTTTTAGGTAGGTGTGGCTGACTCTTAACTTTTATAAAGAATATCTCTTTGGATTTGAGACTTTAGTCTTTGCAACTTTACAGATCTTCTTTATGCACCAAGAGCTTTTAACACTCCAAAGAGAAAGGAAAAATTGAAATCACATCATATGACCCCTTTAATATGTGCTTTATAAGTTCTAATAAACAGCCAATATGCTAGTAATATACATGTTAATAAGCAAGTTAATAGAGAGAATTGGTCCTTAAAGTGTTACCACTATGTTTAAATAATATTATATTTAATATTATATTTCATTATTAAAATAAATGATATCCTGCTCTCCTTTCAGCCAACTGCTCTCGGCCGGTTTATAAAACCTGACAGGTGAATAATAAATTATAATATATGTGGAATTCACACTGTCCATACATGCACCTCGATGCATGACAAACGAAAATACTGTGTTCTTAAACTGAATCAAAATAATCAAAACATGTTTGATATAGATTTTCTGTGAAATCTGTCCACTCTGACTTGGAATCGCAGACTAGCTCTGAATTTCAGCAGCTAATGTTGACTCGCTCTGACTGAAAACTGGGGCAAAAATCTGTGCAAAAGTCATGTAGTGTGTTCCAGCCTTAATGATTTTTGATTTACTCACTTATACACAGTGGTGGACGAAGTACACAAATCAAGTACTTGAGAATCGTTTGGTGCGATTTGCGAACCGATTTAACGGGTTCATTGAAAAGAATCAGTTCGTTCATTAATCAGACACCGCTTCTGTGTCTCGGAGCACGTGATATATTATAACGAGTAACGATAAGTTTTATGAAATGTAGTGAAGTAAAAAGTACGATCTTATGCTTTGGAATGTAGTGAAGTAAAAGTAAAAGTTACTCAAAATAAAAATACTCCAGTAAAGTAGGCCTACAGATACTTGAAAAATGTACTTCGTTACTGTGTCCACCACTGCTTATACATCATAGCCTGGCAAAACCAATGAATTTCACATTCCAGTAAGCATTTTGTTGGACAAAAATTTCTATAAAACCTATTAATCTCATCTTATTAAATTTGTTTTTCCACAAGAGGAAGACTGAATATTTAAATATCTATATCTGCTAAAAAATTTTCTACTTTAGTAGCACAATAGCATGTAATCAACCTCAAAGCTAAAAGATCTGAACTGAAAGCCAGAAAATGTAGAACTTGAATTTCATAGGGTCATTTTCATGTTTCACTCCTGAATGTTTGCATCTTATTTTGGCTGTGATGTTACAGTTCAGGCAGCTCCTGCATCACTCTTAAAGAAGAACAGGACGAGACAGAAGAGGCAAAACACACGCAGTGCGGTACAGAGACAGAAACGGGAAGCTCTTGCATGAGCTCCAACTGCAGGCTGGTGGACGCTGGGATCCAGAAGAACATATCGTTTGATGGCAAACCTGTGACCCCCACCGGCTGGACAGGAGGTTTCTCAGAGATCCTCTCACTGAGAGATCAGCTCAAGCAGACAGAAGAGAAGGCCACACACGAGCAGAGAGAGGTACACCGGCCTGACATCCATTATTCATATATGAGAGCTTTCATAAGAAAATGTTCTCTAAATTTTGCTGATTTATGTTGCTAGTGTGATGGACTGAAGAATGAACTACAGAATCTGCAGGAAATGTACGAGACCAGCCAGAAGGAGCGAGCCGAGCTGGAGCTGGAGTTACTGCGCTGCAGGGAAGAGCTGGAGAGAGCTGCTGAAGTCAAAGAGGTACACTGATCACATAAAAGTATTTTTAATGTTTTTTTTTTTTTAAGAAGTCTCTTCTGCTCATCAACGGCACACTGCATTTATTTGATCAAAAATACAAAAAGAAAACACCAATATTGTGAAATATTATTACAATTGAATTTTTTATTTTACAATTTCTATTTTAATATACTTTGAAATGTAATTTATTCCTGTGATCAAAGCTGAATTTTCAGCATCATTACTCCAGTCTTCGGTGTCACATGATCTTCAGAAATCATTCTAATATGCTGATTTATTATCAGTGCTGGAAACTGTTGCTGCTTAGTATTTTTTGGAACCCTGTGATACTTTTTTTCAGGATTTTTTGATGAATAAAAAGATAAAAAGAACAGCTTTTATTCAAAATAGAAATAGTTTGTAACCATGTGAATCTTTACTGTCAATTTTTTATTAATTTAACACATCCTTGCTGAATAAAATTACTAATAAATTTAAAAAAAAAAAGAAATGTATTGACCCCAAACGTGTGAACGGTAGTGTATATTGTTACAAAAGAATTCTATTTTGAATAAATGCTGTTCTTTTTATTCATCAAAGAATCCTAAAAAAAGTATCACAGGCTACACATTTTTTTTAAGCAGCACAAAACTGTTTCTAACATTGATAACATAATGATTTCTGACACTGAAGACTGGAGTAATGATGCTGAAAATACAGCTTTGATCACAGAAATAAATTACAGTTGAACATATATTCACATAGAAAACAGCTATTTTAAATTGTAATAATATTAAACAATATGACTGTTTTTACTGTACTTTTGATCAAATTAATGCAGCCTTGGTGAACATAAGAAACTTCTTTAAAAAACAAAAAATCTTACTGATCCCAAACTTTTCAATGCAGTGTACATTTTGTGACATAAATTTTAATTCTACATAGATATACAAATAAATAATCATTTTGTTTTATATTTTGTATATATGTATTAAACATCTGAATATAATATCTAAGTTTATAGTTTTTTTATTATGTAAATATAAATGTACAATCTGGGATATTATTGCTAGACATTTTATTTATTTATTTAATTTCTGTATTGAATTACATATGAATTTAAACAGAACACATGCTTTATGCAGTAAATTTAGTTTTGTATAAAAAGAGGGTCAGCCATCCAAATCAAAGAGAGTCATTGCTCTGCTTTACAGACATGGGGCAGGTCAGCGAGTGAAATCATTAGCAATGTATCAGCAAGTGATGATTTCAATGAAACACTAGCAGGTGCAGAAGACACGGCCCATCAGAGCATGTTCATTTAGACTTGATTGTGTCCCCAGCAAATGACAGTATAGCACGAGTACGATCGTTATTTCTAATCATCACTCATCAATAGGTTGATGACTTCACCTGTTTTCTCTGCTATTCTGGATTTCATTTCACAACGCTACACACCACAAGCATTAAACATTAAGCACAGCCTTTGCCCTTTGCTTCCATATTTAGTACGGCTCTTTTTGCTGTAATGACAGCAGCACTCGTTCTGGCATAGACAAAACCTGATGATCATATCGCAGCATGATTTGAGAATGTTACTAAGAGCATCTTACATTTTTCAATGGAAGAAACAAACCTTCTATCGAATCCATTAATCTATCCATCAACAAATTCTCTAATAAATATATTTTAATACAGCGCACCGTTCATTCAGTCATGACTTTTGGTCTCATTCTCCATGCCATTTCTTCCCAAGATCATGCCGTCAGCACCTTCTCTTTCTTTTTTACTTTCTAGGAATGATGCTAACAAAAACCATTGATTTGTTTCTGGCGATCTGAAATATATTGTGGAGAGCAAAGCACAGGTACCGTTAAACGTAATTCAAACATTGTAATTCATGTTTTGGTCTTTATGATGTTCTTTATTGTTATCTTTTGTAAAAACAAATCATACATTTTATGCTTTCTAATGACTTGACTAAATTGTAAAATGTCATATTGTTATTTATTTATTTATTTTTGGATCATACATTATAACAAATAATATTGACTGTCGTAAATACTCTATTATAACTAGTCAGACTGATTGGCTTTTTCTTAGCAGTGTTCTCACCTGATGAAACTACGATCAACACTCATCACAGCCTCTACTGTAACATCTGGAGTTTAATGGTGTTTTTTGTGTGTCCTTTTGTCTTTTTGCAATAATAACTACCTTCTTAGACAAAAAAGGTTCTACTTATATTTTTCCTATAATATTTCACATGTACTTCATATTAGTTTAGCAAATGTTTTTGATTCTTGTGCTGTAGGCTTGTTGTAAATATCTTTAATATTATGATAAGTTTATATTGACGATTTCTTCCTAATATATGAGATGAATTATAAAAAATATATTAATTGCAACAGACCAAAAAATTGCTGTAAAGGAGGTTCAAATTGAAAAGAGAATCTGAAGTTTGTGAATTAAAGAAATGCTTAAATATTTAAAATAGGCCTAGTTATTTACCTTATCAATTATTTTGTGAATTTACACAATGCTATTGGTTTGCAATAACTGCTATAATCTATCCTTTTTGTATGTTTTTATGCATGTTTCAGCATGAGGCAACACTATATTGTCATATAGATGACTGTATATAGATTTATACACTGATGAGAAGAATCAACAATTCAATATGTCCACACAGTTCTGGAGGAAAAAAAGTATGAACTGAACATAATTTTGTCAACATTTAGTGCATGAACTCTGAAGGTCACTTATGTAAAAAGTAAGTGTAACCTCATAGTTCACATATTTGGTTCAACCACCTACAGAAACCAGTTCAGTCTATCTGTATAGAGAGGATTTTCCTGAAGCTGAGTCATTTACTCACGTGCTTTGGATGATTGTCACATGACCCAAATTCAGTTGTGTTCTGTTCTACGGATGTCCAATCCAAAAGAGTCATTATAACTGTGAAATAATGATTATAAATAATTATGTAACCTATTCTAGTCACTTAAACTTTTTTTCTCTAAAGCCATCTGAAATCTCTTTTCATCATGTTGCAACAGAATGACATTATTTTGAGCAGGTGATAAAATTATATCACAATTTGACCTGAACTGTTTGGAACGGTTTATCAAAGGCTTTTTAACAAGAAAGTTCACATATTTGTACTTTTCTATCAATGACCTTGATTGTTCAAACCCTTTATTGTACAAAGATTTGCTTAAACAATTTTAGAATTTTTAAGAATTGTGTGTAAAAACTAAAAATGTAAGACTTCTATTTATTATGTTTTATGACTGAGCTGATAATCAGATGACATATGTGATCTCTTACAGACCATTAACATCTCTAAGTCAGCAAAAGGTTAGCTGAGATGATCGAAGTCTAGCAGCAAATGGAATTCTTCTTCTTATTATTTCTATTCTGTTGTGACAGTGGTACCAAAAACTGTTGTATTTAAATTTGTGAAATTTCTAAAATGATTGTATATTTTGAACAGTAATATAGATCAACCATGAGGTTTAATGGTGTTTAATGTACTGAATTAGCAATTAACTGAATTCCACTGTATCCCTACATTTGATAAAGACAAACTGAGTTCCAACTTTCCAAAACATTTGTGGATGTTTCTTTAAATATGGGCACTTTTTTATTTTGAGCAGGTGATAAAATTATATCACAATTTGACCTGAACTGTTTGGAACGGTTTATCAAAGGCTTTTTAACAAGAAAGTTCACATATTTGTACTTTTCTATCAATGACCTTGATTGTTCAAACCCTTTATTGTACAAAGATTTGCTTAAACAATTTTAGAATTTTTAAGAATTGTGTGTAAAAACAAAAAATGTAAGACTTCTATTTATTATGTTTTATGACTGAGCTGATAATCAGATGACATATGTGATCTCTCACCCACACACACACACACACACACACACACACACACACAGCCTATATGGTGTAAATAAATTCCTGGGATTGTTTTTGTTATTTTTGTTCTATGAGTGTGTGCTGAAATATGCAGACCTTGCAGCACTTTAGAGCCTTTTTGTACTCTTCCACCTGCACTCCTATTTAAAGGGATAGTTCACCCAAAAATGAAAATGTGATGTTTATCTGCTTACCCCCAGGGCATCCAAGATGTAGGTGACTTTGTTTCTTCAGTAGAACACAAACGGAGATTTTTAACTCCAGCCGTTGCAGTCTATCAGTACGGTTGGACTTAAAAATCTCCGTTTGTGTTCTACTGAAGAAACAAAGTCACCTACATCTTGGATGCCCTGGGGGTAAGCCGATAAACATCAAATTTTCATTTTTGGGTGAACTATCCCTTTAAGAGCCTCAGTCTGTTGCACAACGGTGCAGGGCTTTTCTCCTTAACTTTCTTTAAATAGCGATCTGGAAGTTAGCTATCATACCCTGAAATAAAAATGACAGTGTTTGAAGAAAAACCTTTATACTGCAATAAGCCTGCAATGTCTCATGGACTCTAAATTCTGTGATGTTTACTAAAAATCTCATTGCTTCACATTCAATATACTGTATGTATATATATATATATATATATATATATAACATATAAATATATAATATATATATAACTGGATGAGACTATTTTAACACTAGAGAACAGTATGTGAAATATTTAACAGTCAGGATTTTCCATTAGCTAATAAAGATCTCTAACCCTAATAACATTTTATAGACCTTCTAAAACAAGCTTCTAAGACTTTCTAAAAACACCTCATTTGAGTATTGTGCTTTAAAAATATGTGTGCCATACTAAAAAAATATAAAATGTAACTTTTCCTTTATTATATATTTATTATTATACATTTATTGGGATATTCTGCAAAATAACACCAGAATTGTTAGAAAGTGAGGTATGACATTCATTAATGTGTTCAAGGTTCAAAAGAAATATGAGTTAGATTTCCTGGATGACACTGCACACTTCACTACACTGATCCATTAGGATTCAGAGGCGTAAACTGTCAAACTAAATTAAAGCCAAGCATTGGTGCTGCCAGGTATGTTGACTCAGGCTCTTCTTTTACATTTCTGCTAGGATCAAGTGGAACATTAGGTCAGGAAGAAGAAGGCTAATTGTGGAGAACAACCTCATCAAGTTGGAAAACCACTCTAATCTGTTCAAGGAAGAGCTACCTAATAATACAAGAATAATAACACAATGTGACTACTACTAATAACGAATAACACACAAACAGTTGTACTTTTCAGAATGTTACTGAAGACATTAAGTGATCATTGACAAGGCAGGCTGGACATAGTAAGTGAACCTCTCCAAAAAGCTTATTGAAGTTTGGCTAGTGTGACCCATGCCTTGATGCTTAAATACACTTTATTAAAATGCTCAAAGCTGGAAAAGGCAATGGTAGCATTGCTAAAGACCTGGGTGTTCATCAGTCCTAGACCCTGAACATTCAGTATTGTTAATTCTCTCTCCCACAAAGATCACTCTAAGAAAACAACAATAGAAAAAGACCCCCAGAAAACTCTACAAACTGCAGAATTGTTTGTTCATGTGTCCACTGTCATAAAAAACCACACACTGACCAAAAATGGTGTTTGTGAAAGGATTGCTCCCAAAAATAAATATTGATGTCTCATATGTTTGGCCAAGACCACCTGGATGTTCCACAAAGCTACCGAGAAAATGTTCTATGGACAGTTGAGGAAAAAGAGCACTGAATTCCAACTCATCCCAACCGTGAAGCATGGTGGAAAAAGCATCGTGGTTTAATGTTGCTTTGCTGCTTCGGGATCTGGACACTTCAGAATCAGTGTATCAAGAGATTTTACAGGAGAATGTGAAGACAGAAGTTCAACAGATTTGTGAAAGTGATGGTGCAAAAGTGTAATCACAGGAAACGTTTGGTGGAGGTTTTGCTGCTAAAAGAGGACAGAATATTACATTTAAGGGTTTACTTACTTTGTCCAGCCTGTCTTGTCAGCGATCACTCAATGTTGTCAATAGAATTTTGAAAAGTTCAATTGTTTGTGTGTTCTTGCTGGCCCTTTGTCTATTTAGGTTAATTTGCAATCAGTCAATAAAGCCATAAATGTGCTGAGCCACCTTCAAAAACAAAACCTGGGTCAAGTTTAATCTATTAATCAGGTGTCACTGCTGCAAACGGGGCATGTCTGACTGTGACATGTTTATTTTGCCATTATTATGTAATAAAAAGCAAGAAAATAACTATTGCTTGGTCTTCAATGATAATTGAAAGTCACTTTTAATGACTATAGGACATCTCCAAAATTTTAGAAGGCAGGGTTTATAAAACACAAACACATCCTGTATTAAATCTTTTGGTAAAGGCTCGACCCAAGCTTAATATATGAAGTATAGTGAGCTGATATTTAAAATAATGGATATGCACATGTTTTATTGTCGCCTATAAGATAATATTTTATTGTCCATGGAATCTGGGGTATAAAAAAGATATTTTAATGCCCACGTGAAACACAGGTTAATTATTTGATGTGTCACTGAGGTGTCAGAAAGTCACATACATTCATCTAAAACTGCCATGCTGAGTCACTTTGTCTGGTCATTGCTCTGCAAAGAGGGGACAACCCAAAATAAACATTGGTGAACACAATCTTTGCCAAACACTATCGCAACTCAAGACATTTATAATCAGAGAACATTCTAGAACATGTCAAGATGAAGCAACAAATCTTGACAAATGCTAAAACTGCCACATGTTTTTTTCTTTCTAATAAAGCATATAATCGATTTCCTTAAAATCCTTGTTTTCACAACATATTGTCACTCATTTTCTCC